GCAGAGGCAGGTGGATCTCTGAGTTCAAGGCCAGCCTGGTCTACAGAGTGAGTTCCAGGACAGTCAGGGCAACACAGAGAAACCCTGTCTCGAAAACAGAACAAGAGCTGGAGAGACTGCTCTTCCTAGAGGTCCTGAGTTCAATTCCCAGCACCCTCATGGTGGCTCACAACCATCTGTAATGAGATCTGGCGCCCTCTTCTGTGTACATAATAAATAAATAAATCTTTAAAAAAAAAAAAAGAAAGAAAACAAAACAACAAAAAAGAAACAACAACAAAAAACAACCAAATCAGTCCCAATGTCTCTTCCTCTGGCAACTTCACTCACTCTACTTTAGTACATCTTCCCATTAAAACCTGGGGGGTGGGGTTGGGGGTGGAAGGAATGAAGGAGCGGGGCTAGAAGGATGGCTCAGTGGTTAAGAGCTCCAGCTCCAGGGCAATCTAAGGGCAAGCCTCGGAGGGCACCTGCACATATCCACACACAGACATGTAATTAAAACCAACAAACAGAAACAACCAAACAGTAGCCCACGCTTGTAATCCCAACACTCAGGAGGCAGAGGCAGGCAGATCTGTGTGAGTTTGAGACCAGCCTGGACTCTGTAGGGGTTTCAGGTCAGTGTGGAATACAGAATGAGACCTTGTCTTATAAACAACAAACAAACAAATAACCCAGGCAGGGCTCGCTGATACACATCTTTAATCTTAGTGCTTGGGAGGCAGAGGTAGGCAGATCTCTGCGATCCTAGGCAGGCCTGCTCTACACAGTGAGTTCCAGGACAGCCAACCGTGACGTAGTGAAACCGTACCTCAAAATTAACACACTCAGTAACAACAACAAACAAAAACAAAAAAACCCAGTGACACCGTTATGAAGATGTACGTCCGCTGGCCTTGGGCTCCTGTGACAGAGAGCAAATCTCATCCACATTTCCGTCCTCAGCAGGCGACATACAGTAAGCACAGCCCAGCAGGGCAGGTGCACTTTACTGACTGAGCCAATCAGGAAGGAACTTTTCTCTTAGCTTAAGATACCTCGGGCTGGCAAGATGGCTCAGTGGATAAAGGCACTTGCTACCAACGCTGGTGACCTGACTTTGATTCCCCAAGACTCACACGATAGAAGAAGAGAAATGACTCCCCCCTAGATGTCCTCTGACCACCATACATGAGCACCATGGTGTCACACATACACACACAAGATAAAATTGAATTAAAAAAATTTAAAAGATATCTGCCCTTTCACCCCCTCTCCAGTCTATGGCCCCCCCCAACTCCTTCTCTTCATCCTGCTCACTAATAAAATCCTAACTGTGGGGAGCTCTCCATACTGAGAAAGACAGGACATAAGGCAGTAGGTAACAAGCTGGTGTCTGGCCATTTCCCGGCTCCTTATCGCTAGTGCCCTGACCTTGAGACTGACAAGGGGACTCGCTTGCCAGGGAGGCGTCTTCTGAACAGACGGGAGCAGTCCGTGCAGCGTGCCAGTACAGGGAAGCTGCCAGTCCTTGCTGCTGGCTTTCCCAGGACTCGGGGTGGAGCTGGGCCTGGCTGTGTGTCTCATCACTGCCCTAGGCTCAGTGCAGTGGCAGGCCCCCCAGGACACAGTTACCCCTCAGCTCTGCCTCATAGATGGACCTGCCTCACTGCTCTGGTGGCAGAGCCTCCAAGGCCCAGGACACTCTGCGGCTCAGCCTGGCACCAGTGGAGCCTGTGAGGCCGTGGGAGGCAAGCCCTGCACAGGAAATGAGTGATGGAGTCCCTGATCTCCCTGGCCTCTCCCTCCAGACTCACTCTTTCCTCCGGGACAGCAGCAGGCAGTCATTGAAGAGGTGAAGGTACACGGCCTTGCTAGACAGCTTCAGCTTGGCGGGCGGTGCGGCGGGCATGGGGACCAACTCCACCAGCTCTCCGTGCCGCACCAGCCAGCGGGCCTGGGAGATCAGCGGAAAGATCTGGAGGAAGAGATAGACAGTGGGGAGGGCAGGTGAGGCTGGGGGTGCTGGGTGAGTCCGGGGCAGGGAAGGGAGGCCATGGACAGTGACTACCGGCCCCCCACCCCCAGGGGAAGGAGGAAGCAAGGCTTTCCCTCACCTTGCCCTCAAAGTGGATCTTCTTACTCAAGTGAATGAGCTCCTCAGTCCTCTTCATGGACTGCACGCTGGCGTTGCATTCCTGCACCAGCTGGGGATGGGATGGGAAGTTATTTGGGGATGGGATGGGAAGGGAGACCCTCAGGAGGCCTCAGCTCTGGCCCCTGAGCTCACCTCCTTGAGTGCACTGAAGGCTTTGGTGGCCATGTCCTCGTCTTGGGAGCCTGGTGCTGTCCGCTTCAAGATGTTCTGGTGGGAGAGAGAGAGGTGTTCTTGAGTGCTGTAGTCTAGTAAGGCACCCGTCAAATTCCTGTAAATAGGCCCTCACTTGTGTTCCTAGGAGCCGCCCTACTGAAACTCATTGGGTCACACACAAAAAAGACATAGGAGGAGGAGCCCCCCCATTCCCTCACCCACCCCCACCCCCGGGAAGAGGAAGGAGACCAGTGAGACCAGTGCGAGGGGAGAGGAAAAAGGGGGTTGAACCTGGCGGTGGTGGCACACGCCTTTAATCCCAGCACTTGGGAGGCAGAGGCAGGTGGATCTCTGTGAGTTCGAGGCCAGCCTGGGCTACAAAGTGAGTTCCAGGAAAAGCACAGAGCAACACAGAGAAACCCTGTCTCGAAAAACCAAAAAAAAAAAAGGGGGGGTGGGGGTTGAGTATGACCTATGCATGTATGGAAATGTCACAGTGGAACCTATCATGCATAACTAATATATGCTAATAAAAGGAAGACAAACTCGATATAACAACAAAAACGTAATCACTGGTGGCAGGCCAGCCTCTCCCTCCCCACCCTTCCCGAAGTGAGCTACCTCCACCAGCATCTTGAGGCGGGTGACCCTCTGGAAGGGCAGGATGAGGAAGGAGGTGAGAGGCAGCCTTTGGCACACAGGGGACTCTTCCAGGCGAGCCAGGATGCCGGGGAACTTGGGGTTCTCTAGGCTGGACAGTGGGCAGGAAGGTTCTGTCACAGGTTGACCTCTCAGCACCCCTACCCCACGCGGTGGGTCTCATTTATCACAGACCTAGAACTTTTTCCCGGAAACCCTCGCCTGGGACCCTGCCTCACCCAGTCCTCCGCACCCACGCCTGCCCAAGCGCCGCCCCCCGCCCCCCGCAGAGCCCCTCGTACAGCAGGCGCTGGTAGGTGCGCTCCTGATAGGCCTGGTTGGTGACATAGGGCAGGTAGACCCGGCGGAAGGCGGGGCAGTGGTGCAGAACCACATCGCACACGCTGAAGCGCAGCACGTCGGCCTCGAGACGCTGTTCCAGATCGTGAAGAAACCTGCCGGGTGAGCCAAGGTCAAGGACAGCGCCACTGCAGACCTCTGTTGCCACTCTTAGCCAGGCAAGGTCACTCCCTCACCTCTCGCTGGTGCTCTTGACCTCGGGCAGTTTGGAAAATAGCCACTGCTTATCCTGGGTCCCCAGACACTCGCTCAGCTCCACGGAGCCTAGGAAGTGGCCCACGGCCACCGACAGACTATGGATGTAGGAGGCCTCCGAGGTGATCAGCTCAAATTTGGCCTGAGGGAGGGTGGAAGCCAGGTGGTGAGAGCAAAGTCAGGCCACCCGGAACATGGGTCTCAAATCTCCCAACAGGATGAGGCCTCTGTAGACACTACTTCCCTGCCCTTTACCAGCCTTAAGGATAATCTGGCGCCAGGTGGGGCCTGGGCGCGCCCGAAGTCGCCAGCTGACAAGCTCCACTACTTAAGTCTTCCAGAAGCCTGCACCGCCCACGGCGCTCGGCGACACCTGGCACCTGCCTTTGGCCCCGCTCACAAACAGGGAGGGTGGTCTCAACGGCCCCGCCCCTCTGTTGCCCTGCCCTGTCTTTGACCTAGCCCTCTCCCCTGGCTAACCCCTAGGACTTCCAGGACCCTTGCTTTCCCAGGTTCTCCCACCCACTCTCCATGTTGATAGTCCTTCACCCCTACTAAGTGCCTGATCACCTGCCTTTGGCCTCGCCCCGTCCTAGATTCTGTCCCTCCGATCTCATAGCTTCTAGGAGCCTTACTTTCCCAGGTCTTCTCCCCTACCCTTCGCTTTGACAGTCCGTGGGCCCAGCTGAGTCGTATGGTCAACTACTTCTGGCCCCGTCCCTGTCATAGGCTCCTCCCTCCGTTTTAGACCCTCCAGACTCTTCTTCTGGGGCTGCGCAGGTCCCCGCACCCTTCACCCTGCAAGCTGACAGCCCTTCATCTCCCTAGGGTCCCCATCACCTGCTTCTGGCCTCGCCCCATCCGAGGCTCCACTCCGCCCGCCCCCTTTCCTGGCTTCCCCGCTGGGCTCCCGAGTCTTTTCCCAGGTCCTCCCACCCCTTCTCCACGTGGACAGCCCCTGATTCCCTGTGGGTCCCCATCTTCTGCCTCAAGCCCCGCCCCTCACCTCCTGCAATTTGCAGTCGCGCAGGCTCAGCGTGGCCAGGACGCCGCTGCCGCGCACGTCGGGGATGTCCTGCCACAGCGAGAAGGTGGAGCCTCGGGTCGAGCGTTGCGCGCGGAAGGAGCTGCTCGGGGAAAGGTTGGCGCGCGGTGGCCCGGGCCCCTCCTCCGCGCCCTCCGCCCCGTCCCCAGGGCCCTCCTCCTCGCGCTGCTGCCGCCGCAACTCGCGCGCGCTGGCCACGTCGCTGTACTCCTGGTAGAGGACAGCTGGGCGGGGCGGGGGACGGGAACTCATTTACCCATGCCAGAAACACTAATTGGGCACCAACTGTATGCCATCCCACCTGCTAGACCCTGGTACTGCAATTCTGTCCCTCGCACACTGTCTCTACCTCCCAACTCCCCAAAAGCAGGCTCCCCAGATTCCAACGCCCCGGCCCCATCCCCCCTGTCTCCCTCGCAGCAACTCTGCACGTACAGTTAAGGAGAAAGCGGGACTGGCGCCGCTCGGTGGCGCTGCTGGGATCCTGAGAGGGCTTTTCGTGCGGGTCCAGCCTAGGAAAGAGTGTCAGGACCTCTTTGCATCCCTCCCCAAGCCGAGCCCCAAGAGAGAGGTGGGTGGGTACCTGGGCTCCAGTAGACCACTGTGGACCTCATTTGGGTCGACAGGTGCTGGCAGCGACACACTGTCCACCCTCATCTCCGCTCTTCGGGATTCCCTCACAGGCAGTTTCCCTAAAGAAAGCAAGAACTGGGAGTGGGCGATCCAGAGAACGACGCGTGTGGGACACCCGGCTGATCACCTGAAGATGTTAACACGGGTGGATAGGCTGTGCCCTACCCGCCTGGCTCAGGCTGCCCTCAGTGCCCGGGAGAATAGCTGGGTACCTTCCCGGGTGATTCCAGCACCTGACCCTGAAGTCAGAGCCCTGGTGGCCGTGCGCCCGAGGCGCAGAGACGAGTGCAGCCTTGTCATCAGTTCAGAGGCTGAGAAGCGTCTTCGCTCCTGAGCCTCAAGACCCCCTCTGGTGTTTCCGGAAAGCTCCTGTGGCCCGGGCTCTTCCGCACACAGAGCCTGCTCTTGTGCAGCCTGGCCAGTCTCCAGAAGGCCCGTGGGGGTCTCAGTACCACCAGTGGCCTCTTCATTATGATACACTTGCATCTTGCGCCCTAGGGGGTGGAGGTAGAACAACAGCTGTCACCCAGGGTAGTCTGTCCCATCTTCCTCCTTGTTGTGGTGGCATGACGCTAACCATCAAAATGAGATCCCCGGGGCAATGGGACAGCAGAGGTCCTGACTGCAGAGAGCAAGGGAACGGGGAAACAGGGGTTGCCAGAATGGTTATGTAATGTTGGCAAGTCACTTGGACCCCATGAGCCATCTTTCCCTTGTCGTTAAAACTTGTCCTGTCTTTTGGGACATTCTGAAGTTTAAAGAGTTCAAAAAGAGCCGCCCAGTCCCTCCCCTAGCTGCCCCCAAAGGCTCATCCCCCACCAGGGTGACTCACAGGCTGACTTCTTCTCTGAGCCGCCGTGGCTGGCCCTGCGCTGGGGCGGCATGTGTTGAGAGCTCCAGGGTCCCACCAGAGTTGGGGGCTGGGCACCAGGACAGTGGGGCCAGCTGCCAGCCCTGCTGGGTCTCATTCCTCCGCTGGTGGAGATATGGGTATCCGGGACTCCTGGGGATGGCGGCCATAACAGTCCTTGGAGAGGGGCAGGGGTCGCCAGGGACCAGCGGCTACCAGGAGCTTGTGGCTCCTCTGGAGCAATGGGGAAAAGGTCCACGCACACTGGCCTTGTAGGCTGCAGGGTGGGCAGTTCCACAAAGGACAAGCTTTCCTGCTGGCACACGGCTACCGGGCGACGGGCAGTGCCAGGTGGTTCAGCCAGGTGAGGCTGGAGGGTTGCAGGTGGCCCACAGTCCATTCCTCCTTTGCTCTGCCACCCTCCTGGGCCTGTAGAGGAGAAGGGACCAGACCCAGATATAGAACAACAGGGAGGGCCGGTGAGCATCATGTCCCGGAGGCCTGGACAAACCCTCTTGTACACATGTACGCAGCCACACAAACACACTCACATGCCCATCTAGTAATCGTCTGTATTAGTCACTACTTATTAACTGAGTAAGCACCCGCGTAGCACCTCATTTAATATCTACCAGCCTTCAGAACTGATGCCGTTACCCCCATTTTGTAGGTGAGGAGAGTGAGGCACAGTGGTTATCCCCCAAATAGCAGAGCCAGGTTTTCCACATAGGCATCCCGACTTCCACGTTTGCGTTTTTAGCCACCTTGTACATTCTCTAACACACATGGACACGTGACCAGACATATAGATAACATAAGTTGTCACATAAATTCATGTTCCAACACACAGCCCCACATTTTCTTCCAGCACATGTATTTTTACAGATAACTTGAGACATCTCAAATGCAGATACAAGCTCACATACTTTGTTTTGTTTTGTTACACAGGCTTAGAAACTTTCTCTTAGTGACACACACTGACCCTCTTTGCCTTACACACACACACACACACACACACACACACACACACACACACACAAACACACCAGGATGCAAATACATACGGGCCCCAATGTCCTTGTTCTGAGATTATCCACCCCCTTCCATACCCAGACTTGAGGCCTTCATGCTGAGTGATGCCTACATCCTTGCCAGGCTGGCTGGGAGGGTCACAGACTGGCAGGCGGGCCACCACCCAGATTAGTCCCTCCCAGGGAAGAGCAAGGAGATGCCCAATCCCCAGTGTGGGATGACAGAGGGGCTTATCCCCATCCCAGCTCCCAGACACTAGATCAAGCCAGGCAGAATGGGCTGTTCCTGGGCAGGACGCCATCCCCAGGCAGTCTGCCAGCACCCCAGGACAGAATGATGAGCCCAGAGGTCCAGGCCCCTCCAGCCTCGGCCCCAGGGCCCTCTGTGGCCTCCCGCTAGCCCCTCACCTCTTGAGCAGAGACTGAAGCCTGCTGCTGATGCTGCCTGCCTGCTCCGGCAGGGGAAGCCCTCTCTCTGCCCAGCTGGCTGGGGGAGATCCCACCCAGACAAAGGGTTTGATTCATCAAACCCTGTGGTAAGGCCAGGGGAGGGAGGGAGGGAGCAGGCAGCGGGCTGGGGCTGGGCGGGGGCCTACACTTGCCCGGGTGCGTTTGTGGGCAGTCTGGGCAGCAAGGACCCTTGCAGAGGCCCCTCGGGCCAAAGGGGCAGTGCCCAGTCTGACAGAAACGAGAGGGAGACCCAGAGAAAGAGCGGCCTTGGAGACAACAGCTCGGGAACCTACTCTGAGCCACTGCAGAAGAGAAACCACAGAGGCTGAGACGCTTGAGGCCCAGAGCCTGAGACAACCGAGACACCAAGGATTTCCGCCTGGTCCAGATGCTCGGGCAGATGGGAAATCCAGGAAACAAACAAACAAGCAAAAAACAGGGAGACAGATGAACAAATAATAGCTCATGCCCAGTGGGGTTGCCAGGCTGGTGGGAGAGCCAAAATACAAAAGCGGTTACAATCTGAGTTGGCGAGAAACAAGCCACAGGCACTAACACGGTAGGGGGCTGGGCCCAGCCCAATCTGAGTACAGCAAGGAAGGCTTCCTGGAGGAGGAGGTCCCAGCTCACTGTTTCAAAGTTAAAACCCTCAGGGACCCGGTACAAAGAGATGGGGTTGTAATCCCCGGTCTGAACCAGAGACCGGGTCTATCTAGTAGAGGACAGTTGGGTCTCCGTCCTGCACCCCAGCTGCTTCTCCCAGGACTCCTGGCTTGGGAAGCCTGAGGGAAAGGCTGACTGTTCCTCAGGGGCCCTCCCCCAAACAAAAACAACAGCTGTACCTCACTCACCCCCTTATCTAGCCTTTGCCCCTCAAGTCTGTGGTGCCCATCTGGGTAAGTCTCTCTGAACCTCCCTTTCCTCAGTCGGCAAAGTGGGAGAGCTGGTACCAACTTCCTAACTGCTCAGACAAGAATTAACGGCAGGGCACAGGAGGTGCCTCAGGCCCGGGGCATGGGGGGACCTTGTCATCGGCAGGCAGTCCCCTATTATTTTCTGTCTTTGGCGGGGGATGGCCTGGGCCAGCAGCCAGCAGTCGGGAGGAGACACAGCTAGCTTCTGTCCCCCACACAGGTCTCTTTTAGGTATGGGAACGTAGCCCGCCCTGGGAAGGCCCTGGAGAACAGGAAACGAGCCCCTCTCCTGTGATTTAAAGAAACAAAGCATGGGAACTGAAGGCAGAAGCATCTTCAACTAAGGCCTCAGAGAGGGCTGGGGGAGCTGAGAGAGTGTGCAGGCCTTTCTGGAACACAGGATAGGAAAGGGTGTCAGGGTAGCAGGGTGGGTCTGCCTCCACTGTGCTCAGGCGGAAGGGCCATGGGAATGCCAGTCCGGTAGCTTTTCAGGCCGCAGCCCACTCAGCCTTGATGTTGGTGATCCGGGTCCAGAGCTGCGTTTAATACTGTTAACCCACAAAGTCAGGGAGCACTGGCTTCAGGCGGCTGGCTCCAGATCTGACCCCAAGATAGACGGGTGCTCACGAGGCAAGGGTCACTCTGGAAACCAGGTCCAGGGCCTGGGCTGACACTGACCAGCTCTGTGAGGCTTTAGGCAAATTACAAGCCCTTCCTTGGGCCTTGGTGTCCATGTGTGTCAAGTGACCCTCAGGTCCCCCCCAAGTCTCCTCTGTGAAACCTGTGTCATAGGTGTCTCTGCAGGCTGAGAAGGATTGGTGGAGGCCAAGGAATGGTCTGTGCAGGGCACTACTAGTTAGAGGGGGCACTACTAGCTAGAGAGGACAGCAGGTCTGTCTAGCAAGGTGTCAGACCAGCCCTAGGCACTGCTCTTGTCTGGATAGCACCCTTGGCCCTGGTACCAAGACTTTCTCTCCCGGCTGAGTATCCCTTGGCTCCCTGCTCAGAGGAACGGAGAGCCTGCCAGAATCCCTTGCTCCGTAAGGGACAAAATCTAGTTGGAGGTTATGCCCCAAAGGGGTTTCCAAGTCGAGCAGAGCCCCAGGAAGCCAAGAATGGGTTGAAGGCAGCAGCAGCAGCAGCAGCAGCGGCCAGGCAGCCCAGCACAAAGGACTCCCTCCGGACACAGCAGGAGGCGGCTGGGCTGCTGACCCAGGGCCCTACCTCAGCCAGGGAGCTCCTCCGTCCAGCGACTGGTACAGTCCAGGGCTCCAGACCACCCTGGGGGCAATGGGGTTGTAGCCAAGTCCTCAGAGGACCATGCCGGCATGGCTCCAATGCTGGGCAATGCAAGCTCCTGGGTATTGTGTGGGGCGGGGAGGGGGGAGGCGAGGGTGAGGGAGGGAGCCTTGCAGAGGCAGGCGGCTGTCTCGACGTGCCTGCTCCCCGCCCCCCTTCCCCAGAACCGGTTTGGCCAGTCGGGTACAAGAGGGGGCTGGAACAATGGGAGTCCTATGCCTCCTGGAGGCTCTGAAGGACCCCAGACAACTGCCTAAAGATGGGGTTAGCAGAGTTCTGCTCCTCAGAGGTGGACCACCCCTCTCCAGAGCCTCCCAAATACTAAGGATAGGCAGGGACTTTGTGAGAGTGGAGGACATCCTGGGAGCTTTGCAAAGGAACCTCCAAACCCGGAATTCCCCTCGGGGGTCCTGAGACCTCCTCTGCCCCCCTCTGTCTATGAACCTGTCCCATATCTGTGGATTGGGAACCCTCAACTGCACAGCAGGGAGACAGAAGTCGATCTTGAAAGTTAGTCATCTTCTGGATGGCCCCTCCATCATGGCCACGCCTCACCAGCGACCCTTGCCTGCTGGAAGGACCAGGCTCTAGGTCTCCAGCAGCTGCCTCCCCAGTGAAATCTTCCCAGAGTCCCTCCTACCTGGAGGGAATTCTCAGTAAGGTCAATGAAACAGCTGAGATCAAGGCATCCTCCATAACGGGGGTGGGGGTAAGGGGTGGAGGGGTGGTGGGGTGGGGGAAGGGCACGCTCTGCGCCAGGCACACAACTTTGCCAAGCCTGTGGAAGAGGTAAAGCTGCTTCCTCCCAGTGGACCCGCCGTGTGAGTGAGCACCTTGCAATTGCCCAGCGGGTGTTATTCATAAGAGTGTGTAGGGTGGGTACAAAGATGATGCCCACGGGGGTAATAACTGGTACACTTCCTGTGTGTAAAGCACTTCACATGCACGGGTTCACTCCCTGTCCATCACGGCCCTGTGAAGCCCATACTGTGACTGTTACCACGTAGCAGGTGAGCACACAAGGCTTGTGTCCCTAAACATGTGCACTATCCCATCTGTGAGGTCCCCCTCATCTTCTACAGATGTGACATTGATGTTCTAGGGGCGTCATGAACAAGAACAACCAGGGGCTGGCGAGATGGCTGGGTGGTTAAGAGTACTTGCTGCTCTTGCAAAGGAGTCAGACTCAATCCTCAGGATCCACGTGGCGCCTCACAATCATGTGCCAGTCCAGTTCCAGATTATCTGACACCTTCTTCCGGCTTCCATGGGCACTAGGCATGTACATGGTGCATACACTTACGTACATGCAGGCAAAACACTCATACACATAAAAAATAAAAATGAATAAATCTTAAAGAAAGAAAAGAATAGCCAGGATTGAGACCCAGATCCGTCTGACCCCACCATGTGCCTACATCTTTAACCACTGACTGTGTACAGGGAGATGCCCAGCTGACCTAAGTACCATCCCCATCCCCATCCTTTTTTTTTCCCCCTTCAAACTTAGTGTGTAGGTAAAGAGGATCTTGGGATGTTGAGCTTTCTGCCTCTGCCTTTTGAGTTCTGGGATTATACTGAGCACCACCACACCCAGCTTACACAGTGTGGGCTGGGGTGGGGGGTTGGAGGGGGGGTGTTAGGTTTGAACTCAGACCCTCTTGTATGCCAGGCCTGCATCCCCAGACCCTAGCTAAGCCCGGAGGCGATTGCTCCTACTATACCACGGGCCCTGCTGCGCTTCACGCCCAGACCCCAGTGAACTCTCCCTCCGAATGGGTCCCTTAGCCTCTTATTGGTGACATTAAATTCAGAGTGGAGTCCTCTCCTCCTGTCTGCTTTGCCCTCCCTGAACACCATCATCCGGCAAGAAGACACTGACCAAAGTGGGTAGGGGAAGACAGGGTTATGTCAACATTGTACAGAGAGCAGGAAGAAGGGGATGTGGAGAAAAAACCCCAACCTTCTCGTCCTCCCGAGAGGCACGGCCCGGTCCCCTCGCTGGAAACCAGAGGGCTCCAGCCTTGGGGTGGGGTAGGGCGGGAGCTCTAGAGAAGCTTAGGGGGCTGTGCCTCTGTTGCACCCGGTTGGGTGAAGCAGGCCAACTCTCCAGAACAGAGAACCTTCCCCGGCCCACCGAGAGGTCAAGGTAAAAGGGAGCGTGTCGTGCGCAGGGTTGGGTAAAGGGCTGGACCAAGGGGAAACTATTATCGGGAATCTGGCTATCTCTGCTCCGCTCCAGAAGGCAGGGCTTGAAAGAGCTGAGGCTAGGCGTGGGGCAGGTTGAGGGGCGTGGGGCAGGTTGAGGGGTGTGGGGCAGGTTAGGGGGCGAGATCAGTCGGGTATGGATGGACCCGGGGTCCGCGGGTTTTACTGACCCACGGTAGCCCTTTGGTGGACAGCCAAGAGCTCACTTGAACTTGGTAGATACCACAGCAGGCCCATTCCACAGGAGCCAGACTAACAGACGCAGGGAGATCAGAAGGAGCTGAGGAAAGAGGGACCAGAGAGCAATAACCGTAGCAAAAAAAAAAATTTTTTTTTTTTTTTTAAATTGGGTGGCTGGAGAGACAGCCGTGGGTGCTGGGAACCGAACTCTTTATATTTTTGGTTGTGAGCCTAGCCTTTAACGGCTGAGCCATCTCTCCAGCCCCGTAGCAATCTTTTTATTTCGGTTTTTCAGATTCTCTTATGTAGCGCAGGCTGACCTCAAAATGACTATGCAGCCCCGGCTGGCCTTGAACTCGATTTGCAACTAAGGATGGATGACATTGAACTCTGGAGTCTCTTGCTTCCACCTTTTCTGAGTGCTTGGTGTCGGTTTTATTTATTTATTTATTTATTTATTTATTTATTTATTTATTTATTTATTTAGTGTTTTTTTTTTTTTTTTTTTTTTTTTTT